TGTTAATAGCATATTCTTGGTATTTACAAAGAATTATTCGCTGAAAAATTTATGCACAGTCTTTAAATTTTACTCCGGATGAGCTTCCATGTACCGGCCATTATTTATCAACCTCTGTACAGCTGACATGACGTGTGAGATTCTTCGATTAAAAATCTCTATTGTCTTCGAGCTTCTGATGAATATACGTTCATTTAAAAGAAAGAAGCGTTCGGGTCTCATCAAAAATTTAAAAGGAGGCTTGATAACCACAGGAATATTAATGATAATAAAGAGGAAGAATGTCACATCAGGGTTTAAGTGTTTGCGGATGATTCGTTTCCAAGAACCTGAATCTTAGTCTTGAACGTTCTCAACCAATGCAATCCCTTACACGATAACTCAAAAACTTAAAAATTTAATTGAAGACTTACAGTTCCGCACCCCCCCCCCCCAAAAAAAAAAACCAAAATAGAACATGCTCGGTAGGACACAATAACATTTTCTTAGATGTAAAAACCGCGGACAGACAAGGATGCGTGATGTATACTCCTTGTCATGATAGGTTAAACGGAAAATCCGTAGAAGTTTCAGTGTATGAATAAAAACTAACAACTAGTGTAAAAACGTCAGTAACATTTGACCTAATGATTATATTGTATTTGCTGATAAGGTCATTGAATCGACCGTAGAGAACTTGCAAAATGACTCCGAGCGAGACTGTTGTTAGCCATGTTTCATCAACTTGTTGGTCAATACTTGCCTTGTTTTAAAATTTATCATACCTAGAGAATGTTTTTGCGTATAGATTCAACTGGGGACATAAACCCCAAATGCAGGTGATAAGGGTATATTGCTGCATAAATTATGGATGGTGACGATAGAAAAGTTAAAGTCATCACGTTTGTTTTAAGGTTACCATTAACTTTCTTTTCTAATATATATAATATCCAAATATAAACAGACGTATTAAGCACTATGTTTAAAGTGAGGGATAGTCGTTTAAAGTGTAGAAAAGTTGTACGTTTTGATATTATTGATTATGGAAAAAATTATGATTTGAAATTTTCCAATAATACCAAGGAGTTTTTAAAGTTTCCGCGTCTTATTTACACGACTTCTCAAATGTAATATAGTGCAGTACTCCAAAAGTTTCTCCTTCACTACTGTAAATATTTTATAGTAAAGAGAAATATGAGAGGATTGTTAGAACATTCACTGGAACCCGCTATGTAAGGATTATTGTCCAGTTTTAGAATCCAGTTATTCATAACATTTATTAAATTATTAGGTCAGTTGATAAATCGGGTACGTTTCCTAAATTTTGACCCTTTTATAAAAAAGTGATTAAAGATCATCATCATTAACTATATTAACGTCACCAGTTATGACGTGTCCACTAGGGCTCAAGTTGTAGGGAGAAGAAGAACATGAACAGGCTGGAGGATTATGTTTTAGATGTTCGATATCAAGGCTCTGTAGAGTTTTTTTTGTAATTAAAAAGTTTGGTCGCGATATTGACGATGCATACTACTTTGTTAGAAATACAAGGTCTGGATTTTTAAAAAAGTAAAAAAAAAAGATTATCTAAACATCTAAACTTATAATTTATTGGTCCTTATAAAATTATATCTATATTAAAAAAATGTCATTTACTAGTTCAAAATTGTCTCTAGATTAAGATGGATAGGTGCAGCCCCCCTGACAATATATATTTCAAACACACAATGTAAGCGTTAACCATCATGATAATATGTTAAGATTTGATTTAGCGCTTTTTGAATGTGTGTTACATAAACCTTTATACACAAAACATTTAGCGATGTACTTGATTTAGCGGAGGCTGCTTTCCGCGAAACTCGCTAAAAAGAATACACAGCCAAATGTAATTACGTTTACAGTAATATGTTCAAGTACTGAAATACTCAAGTATTCAAGATCGAAAATCCATAAAACAATAAATCAATTGAGTGTATAAATGGTGAACTAATAATTAGTATGAAAAACATCAGTTAGCATTTGACTCAATGATAAATAGTATTTGCTGATATATCGTATCGACATAAGAATGGAAATTACCATTGTTAATTGACAATACGTCTTCGATATATCTAAATGTGGAGTTGAAGGCCACAGCAAGTGTTTCTTCTTTTCACGTATAAGATTTTGGACAAATTCTGCTTTTGTGTAAATAACGGACTAACAATTTGTATGAAAAACGTCAGTATGCATTTGACTCAATGATAAGTTGTATTTGCTGGCAAGATCATTGTATCGACCATAGAACTTACGAAATGAATACTTTAAACGAGACTACTGACATTCTTGTTTCATCAACTTGTTTATTCAATAATTTACCTCGTCTTAGAAATTGTTCATACGTAGAGCATGCTCTTGCGTATCGACTCAATTGAGATATATAAACTCCGTAAGCAGTTGATGAAGGTATTTTGCTGCATAAGTAAGGGAAGTTGACGATAAAAAAGTCATCACGTTTATTATAGAGCTTGGTTGTTAGATTACCATTAACGTGTTTTTCAAGTAAAATATCCAAATATGAAACAGGTGTGCCAGACTCTATGGTATCTTCTCAAGCTTACCAGGATGTATCGTAACTCCCCCCCCCCCCCAATCTCTCAAAATTGGATTTTGGGTATTTTTTGACACGGTTTTTTTTCAGGTAGGTTGTCAACTGTTTTCTTTAGTAACCCCTATTGCCACTTAAAAAATGATACTAGCTGCCATTGTCTATAGAATTACTTTTAAGGACAGACGAGACGTTCCTTAATAATAGATAAATTTTTTTTAGAGTTTGTCATTGAAGTCTTGCTACTTAAACATGTTTACTCACAAAAAATTACTACCAGGCATTTCTGCAAGCCTTATATAATCCTTTGAAAAATAATTTTCCAATTTCAAATGTTTGAGTGTTTGGATTTTTTAAAAATGGTTAGAAACTGGTTTAGAAATCAGAATGTTATTAAAATTTTGAATATTTTTCATACATTACAAAGATATACAAAACAGATTTTGAGGAACGTCTCGTCTGACCTTAATTTTAATAGATCTAAGAACGTATTTATACTGTTAATGCAAAAATCAAAGCAGAACTGTCTATAAAGATCTAGTATACAAAGTACTTCTCACAAGCTCTAGTAAATCTACACAATCTGGCGTATCAAACATTTTCTGAATATGCTGAACTTAGAATGCCATTATATTTCTAAGATATCTGACAGTTTGACGGTTTCCGACACAAGCATCATGTATATATCCATCGGTATTTTATATCAAAATTCGAACTCTATGGCCCACTTGGACTGCTAATCCTATCAGATGTGAATTATTGTCAATAAGGATGGCGTTAGCCGTAAAATGTTTGATAATTAGCATGAGAATCGGGCTTGTTGTAATGATATTTTATACAGAATGAGAAACATTGACGGTCAAAACGGTACATTATGTTAGAGAGAGAGAGAGAGAGAGAGAGAGAGAGAGAGAGAGAGAGAGAGAGAGAGAGAGAGAGAGAGAGAGAGAGAGAGAGAGAGAGAGAACACTTAATTTCGTGGGGATTTAATTTTTGTTGTTTTCGAGGTATGCGCTACCCTCAAATTCATGACAACAACAAAATGTCAAATTTCATAGTACTCTACACTTCTCTAACCTCAAAATCAAATCCACATTAACCAATATTTCTTACTTAAACTTCGAAATTTGACCTCTTGAAAATACGTGATTTTAAAGTACTGGTAAGGTTAGCTTCACATCGAATTCATTTGTACACAGATTACAGATATGTATTTTTACAAAACATTCAGTATATATCATATTCTTAATTATGTATTGTTATACTGTTAAACAAATCTCTTACAAAAAAAATTTCCGACGTTCTGAGCGGTCAAAAAAATCAATGTTGGACCATTGAGAGGAAATATACTGGACAAATCAAAAAGATATTGGGCCGCTATGACGTCAGTTTTCACGTCACACTGGAGGCCAGAGCAACTACTTTCTTGTGTCTGACAAAAAGTATGTTACCCTCTGACACAATCAGTAGCATTTAGATTCCATTTTTATATATGGAGATAACGAACAGTATTCAAAATCAAAAGTCCATAAAACAATACAACATAGGAGCAGAGCAAGCACGGGGCTCCAAAACATTAATGGTGGGATCAGATGCCATGGAGGAGTGAGCATCCCCTACCGACCGGTCTCACCCGCCGTGTGCTCCTTGTCATGATCGGAAATAACGGGACAATCCATCGTCAATTCAGTGTATAAATAATGGACTAACAATAACTATGGAAAAAGTCGGTCAGCATTTGACTCAATGATAAATTGTATATGCTGACAAGGTCATTGTATCGACCATAAAACTTATGCAATGATGACTATAAACGAGACAGCTGAAATTTTTTGTTTCATCAACTTGTTTGTCAATAACTTACCTCGTTTAAGAAATTGTTCACACAAAGAGCATAATCTTGCGTATCGAATCAACTGAGATATATAAACCCCGTCTACAGGTAATGAAGGTATATTGATACATAAGTAAGGGAAGTTGACGATAGAAAAGTTAAAGTCATCACGATTATCATAGAGCTTGGTTGTTAGATTACCATTGACGTATTTTTCAAGTTATATATCCAAATATGAAACAGATGTGTCAGACTCTGTGGTATTTTTTTTTTATCTTAAGCTCATCAGGATATATCGTACCGGCATAGGAATGGAAATTACTTTTGTTAATCGACAGTGCGTCGTTGATATATCTAAATGTCGAACTGAAGGCAACAGCAAGTGTTTTTTTCTTTTTTTCTTTATAAGATATTGCACAAATTCTGCTTCATATGAATACAAAAATATCTCTGCTATAACGGGGGGCAATTGTTAACCATGAGAATTCCAATAGATTGTTGGAAGACCTGGTCTCAAAAAACATCATAGATATTGTCAATCAGAAACGCAAGCATCTATTAGATGCCAATAACTTCTAAAAACTCGAAACTTGTACGTACGTCAAAATATTCTACTTTGGTGTCAAACATGATGTGTTTCTCCCCCAGAGCCTCCAACATGGAGGTCAATTTTTCAGGTTTGTCCAGGCGGGTGATGCATTTTTCAATAGTCCCCATGACTCGGAGTCCGTGTTCCCGTAGCCCCACATTGTGGCGGAGTTCTTCTGAGCTCAGTCCCCGGAGGGGCACAAATAAATCTTGAACATCAGGGAACTTCTCAAACAACCTGAAAGGTAAAAAAATGTAAAATCTTGTACCTGTACAAAAAAAGTCGAAAAATCTGATTCATTACCATCGATAAGTTTTCAGTAGTAAATTTGAAACTTAAAATTTACAACGTATTATAAGTAATCATGTCCATGTTGTTCTCGAGAAGATTCGAGAAGATTTAAATAAAAGTTTGCACATGTTCTTTTCATACTCACTTGAAAATGCTTACATATAGGTATAATTGATCATTGCTTTGAAAATTAAAAACAATTTTCTTCAATTTTCCCCTTTTGTGGCCCTACTATATCCCTCGCGGATATGTTTATTTGAATATTTCAAATCTACACTTACGTCATGACCTGCAAATGATATTAAATATCTTTTTCAATATTGAGGAGGATGCTCAGGATATGATTAATTTTTAAAACAGGACAGGCTACTGAAAGATGAATTAATATTACAGGAATTTTAACAAATTTGTTAAGATTCGGTATTTCGTAAATTCTTTGGTCGTTTTAATGAACTTGATAGCAGATATAACTAACCATTGGGTCAAATTTAGTTGACTGGTTTCATACTAATTGTTACGTTTTTGTTTTTATACTGAATTTGACTACGAAATGTCAATAGCCTTTCTGATCAATGTAAAGGGCTCAAAGCGTCAAGGCGTATGCGACCGGTCACATGGGATGCTTACTCCTCCAAGGCACCTGATCCCTCGAATTCTAGTGGTCCTTTTTTTAAATGTATGCCATTTTCACATATTTGCTTTACTTTTTTTTTTTAGATCAATCATTTTACGGGTGAATAGACAGACTGACATATGCTCATAGTCAGGTGGTCTAAAAACAATACCGACAAACTTTCAGCAGCAAGCTTAATATGGGTATGTATACGTATGTAACAGGAATTGAATTTTATGAATTGTTTGATCTTAGATCAAGGTAATTCATTCTCTTCAGGTAAGTCATATCCTGGTGAATGATAACAGAGCACACCCGGGCTATCATTTTGAACAAAAAAAATTATACAGACTTTATCACAGATTGTCTGCATCCGCCTCAAGCGTGCAACAATACACGTAAACCGGTGCATCTCGCTGGAATATTCTAATTAACAGTACGAATTCACTGGAGTCAAACTAAACTCAAAACTTAGCACTTTATGATATAAACAATTGAGTACGAGTAGGTTGATATTTATAAGGTTTCACAAGAAGTATTTTGTTATTTATACTGTCTAGCGCGAGTAAATAACATGACTTGGATGCAAAGACGGTATTTTTCATACCCTGATTGCTGTGTTGATTGATGCCAATTCTCATCTGATCATTAAAAACTGTTAAAAGCTTCATTAACTGTAATATTTACAAATTGATTTGTAGGAATGAAACCAGAATAAATTTTCCATTACAGTGAGAGCGATTTTCATTTCAATATAAGACGAAAACACGCATAAAAATACCCGTCTCTACTTAAATCCTCCCTTGAACCCCCCCCCCCTTCCCAAGTTAATAATCTCCATGTTAGCCAAAATTTCCAATGCTTTTAGAAATACTATGAAAATTATAGATATAATAAAACATATGAAGATAACATACAGTATTCAAACTCAAAAGTCCAATAAAACAACACAAATCAGGAGCAGAGAAAACAAGGACCTATAACATCAATAAAAGAGGGATCAGGTGCCATGAAAGAGTAAGCATCCCCTGTCGACCGGTCAAACCTGCTGTCATTTTGTCATGACCTGGCGAACGGAAACCCGTCGTCAATTTTGTGTAAAGTAATGAACCAATAATTTGTATGAAATTTTTTTGAAAAAACAGTAAACATTCGACTTAATGATTTCTGATAATGAAATTTTTTTTACTTGCTGACAAGGTCATTGCATCGACAGTAAAATTTGCGAGTGTTTGACTTTAAACGAGACTGTTGCTATCCTTGTTTCAGAAATTTTTCAAATCAAAAGCTTGCTTTGTATTAGAAATTCTTTGTATACTGAGAATGCTCTTGCGTATTCATAGAAGTAATGGAGAGATTTAAAGGCATCATGTAGGTTATAATGGTATATTGATACATAAAAAGGGAGGTTGACGATGGAAAAGTTGAAGTCTTCACGCTTATTATACAGTCACTTTGTTTAATAACCGTCCCTTGATAAACGTCTTTTGTAAAAAGTAAAATATCAAAATACGAAATGGATACATCAGAATCCGTTATCTTTTATTCTGAGTTCCAAAGGATATATCAAGTTAACCTTGGAATGACTTTTGAACATTGTTTAGTGATAAAATATCGTTGATATATTTAATTGTTGAATTGGAGGCCACAGCAAGAGACTTTTTTTCTCTCATGTAGAAGTTTTTTAAAAAAATAATTCTGCTTCATATAGATAAAAAAATGTACTCTATAAAAAGGGAGAAATAAGTATCAATGCGAAGTCTAACAGATTGTTTGAAAAAGATTTCTAAAACACTACATATATATTGCATGGAAATTCAAATAAATTTTATACTGTAAAAATATCTTTTCATTTACATTTTCCATATAGAAATGAGAAATAAAGAAATAATTATATTGATTTTTTTTTCTGCAATTAATAGACGATTATATATACAACTACCAATTTTAAAAACAAATAGATTGGTACTTTAAAGTATTTAAAACTTGCTAAACATTCTCAGTTTTCTTACATTCTGGTTCTATTTTACAGATATGTCTGAAACTGTGGTTGTCTCATCAAAACAAATTTTCAGAAAAAAATTCCACGAACTTTTGGATCAACTGTCGTAATCATATCTTCCATTATATACACAAAGGGCCGATTCTCGGGTCTCTCGTTACAGTTCTTTAATTAAAAAGAAATGATAGGCTTCACGTGAACTTCTATATTTTCTGGTTTGCTCGGTGTCCTGTAGATCAGTGCCTTCCGAGTGGGAGAAGACTAATTACTCATAATACACCGAGATGATGTTTAGTACTGTACCAGATCACGTGACGTGACCCATGATATCTGATCCAAACGTATCTGATTTAAGTTTTTGTCCCATTGGCTTTCAACATACTGATTAACTTATTCCATTCCCGCCATAAATAGTAGAGGTTCGCATACTACAAATTATCAGTAATAGGCAGATATTCGTATGGATCTTATTTTGTAATTCCCAATATATTGCAAGGATATTAATCATTTTTTGTTTTAAATTTGATGTTCTCAGTCCCTGAATGCGCGGAATTTGTTCCCCAGTTAAATCTCTATTGATCGACCCAGCTGTAGTAACATCATTATCTTTGTTCGAAACAATAATCCCCTTTGATTTCTTTGCAATTATATTTATTTTTATTAAGAACAGGTTTCTCGAAAAATTTCTGTTTTCATTTTACTGCAGAACTGAATTGAAACAATTTTTGCTAATTCGCACCCTGCATCATTATATGTCAATTAAGTTTTTCCGATTTGTAAATTAATTAAATGTTGAACGATTATGTCACCAATTATGTAAGCACTTTTAGAGAGATTGTGTATTCCTATTGCTCAAGCTACGCAGAATTTTAATCGTGAATTAGGTCTTGAAGTTATCATGGTTTAACATTTACCTAATTACTTAACTTTAAGAAGCATTGGAATGATCGCCGAGTTTAATTTATAATCTCCTTGATTGATGTAGAAATAGCATGTGATTGCGAGCATCTGTGTTGTATAAAAACGCGGATCTGAATCAACACTGTCAGGATGTTGGGTTTGATCTCCAGAAAAAAAACATTGCTAACTGAACTATGTACACAAGGAATTGTGAGTATTAAGTGATTTCCAAACAGTTCCTGCCTCTACAGAGAAATTAACAGTACTGACTGTTACCTCTTATCTGCTGAAAACACACATTCCTATCCGTTATTTATTACTGAGCGATCTTATATAGTAGAAAGTAATGCTAATGAATAACAAAGATTTCCACTGCAAAGAGACGATAAATAATGTAATCCTAGTTCTGTCATGTCAATAAATGATGCTAGAACTTGTGAAAGTAGAGAGAAAATGCATGTCCGAAAAACTTTACCATCGGAAACCTTATTACAGTGGCTTTTTGTTTTAAAGTCGCTTAAAATTTATAGTCTCTACTCTTTTATCTGAATTTTTTCACAGAAAAGTAGATAATAAATGTAAAAGAACTTAAGAAAAACAAATAACAATAAACTTTAGAATAATTCCACCAACGTATTGAAGTAGAAATAATTTTCTATTATTTCTTTTTGTGATACATTGTATTAATGCTATAAGACGTATGTCTTTTGCAATAAAGAAATTGAAATTGAAATAACAATGATAGCAAACCTGAGAAAAGTGATGACTCCGACTTTGGAGATATCCTCCCGGACTACCTCCCACGTGGACTTGACAAGCTGTTTCTGATCCTCCGTAAACTCCGCTTTACTCATTCCGTTAACAGTGTCCTTCAGCTCGATTTCCATCGTGTCGTTTTTCCGGGAATCGATGGGAGGTTTTTCGCGGGAAAGCAAACAGCCCATAGTAAATGTCTGTTCATTATAATGAAGACTAATCATAAAAGAGTAATTAGGTATCTCCTCCCTATGTCCTTTGATCACGTTCTTATACTTTTTTGCGCTTATTTATTCAAGGACACATACGGTAAAAAGACTGGTCAGTGTTCGCGAGGTACTTGGCGTGCACTGTTCCTCGGCGAAGAACCGACTTGAGCGCCTAACAATCTGATATCGTTATATCGGGAGGGAAAAAAACGTTTTATTGTGAGTGTGATAATAGACAATTTTCCAATAACAGGCGTATTTGACTGTAAAACTATTTATAGTTAATATTAAAATACAGCCAGAATGAGCATAATTGAAGTAGTGTGGGGGCTGGAGAGGGTGTTCCTATCATATACAAGAAACGAAACACTCGGAAGGCTCCTAGGACTTGAGTACATCTACCTATATTATTTAATTATAAAGACGTCATTGATCCTCAGATTTAGACGATTGTACAAATGTTCTTTACATCATTTGATCTGGCACAAATGTCCGATACATAAAGATGATATATGGGACATCGCATTAATAGGCTGATACCGCTGAATTAACTGTCTACTATGGAGGGGTAAAATGAATTTACATATGCCAATTACACACAGTGTTTTTCGATAAAGTTGAAAAGTTATTGACGGAAGGAAACGTTTCTCAGATAATATAAAAATTGTTCAGTCTCAAGACCAAGAGTACACGTAATACCTATTGGTAAACTAGTTACGAGGCCAGTCAAAGCTTAATAAATAGTAGAAATACATTTATTAATGAGGACCTTAAATCAAAAGGGCCAATATTTAGGGAACACTAACCTTTTCACTGGAGTCAAAATTTCAAACATATTATGGATTCTGTGGAAGATTACACCAGGCGATGGTCCAGACATCAAAAAAGAACACATTGACACCTTTACCTTGTCAGAATGGATAATATGTATCAGATTTATGTTAAAATCTCACATTAAGCGATAAAAGGGCAAAAAGACAACCAACTATCCTTTTGTGTTCAACAATTCAGAAATGATTTTTTAGATAGATTGCATGATTCGTATGTACTGGTCCCTTCTGACAAAGCAGGTAGCAACATTTTCTTTATTTATCAGGCTCGTTTTTCAAATTGTATTTCAGAGGAACTGTGATTTCACTCTATACAAGTGGTAATCCAAATAATACCAATAGCCCCCTTTCTAAGTAGAAAGTACTTCGAAATCATATTGGAATATTCTTAATATTCCCAATAACCAAACCATATCAATATTGGATTCAGAAACTTCAAATAATCATTACAAACAAAGATACATACCGACTTCCAGTTGATATTCTACCAAGACTCTTTTTTACACCTCAGAAATTGAAAATGTTTCATGGACTTTTGAGCATGAATACTGTTCGTCATCTCCATAAGGATATTGAGATCAAAAGTCCGTTAACCAATACAAAATAGGAGCAAAGCAAACAGGGACCTCTTAAACATCAGAGGTGGGATCAGGTGCCATGGAGGAGTGAACATCCCCTGCCAAACGATCACACCCACCGTGTGCTCCTTGTCATGATCGGGAAATAACAGAATAATCCGTCGTCAAAACAGTGTATAAATATTGGACTAACAATTGGTATGAAAAACGTCAGTCAGCATTTGAGTCTTTAATAAATTGTATTTGTTGACAAGGTCATTGTATCGACCATAGAACTCAGGAAATGATGACTTTAAACGATACTGCTGAAATCCTTGTTTCATGAACTTGTTTTTTCAATAACTTATCTCGTTTTAGAAATTGTTCGTAAGTAGATCATGCTCTTGTGTATCGAATCAACTGAGATATAAAAACTCCGTATGCAGGTGATGAAGGTATATTGCTGCATAAGTAAGGGGAGTTGACGGTAGAAAGCTTAAAGTCATCACGATTATCATGAAACATATGGAGATAACGAACAGTATTCAAGATCAAAAGTCCGTAAAACAATACAAAACAGGAGCAGAGCAAACACGGACCTCTTAAACATCAGAGGTAAGATCAGGTGTCATGGAGTAGTGACCATCCCCTGCCAAACGATCACACCCACCGTGTGCTCCTTGTCATGATCGGGAAATAACAGAATAATCCGTCGTCAATAGACTCTATAAATAATGAACTAACAATTAGTATGAAAAACGTCAGTCAGCATTTGAGTCAATAGTGAATTGTATTTGCAGACATTACATCGTATCGACCATAGAACTCACGAAATGATGACTTTAAACGATACTGTTGAAATTCTTGTTTCATCAACGTATTTGTCGATAATTTACCTCGTTTTAGAAATTGTTCATGAATAGAGCATGCTCTTGCGTATCGAATCAATTGAGATATATAAACTGCGTATGCAGGTGATGAAGGTATATTGCTGCATAAATAAGGGAAGTTGACGATAGAAAAGTTAAAGTCATCAGGTTTATCATAGTGCTTGGTTATTAGATTACCACTGAAGTCTTTTTAAAGTAAAATATCTAAATATAAAACAGATGTGTCAGACTCTGTGGTATCTTTAATCTCAAGCTCACCAAGATATATCGTATCGACATAAGAATGGAAATAACCATTGTTAATTGACAATACGTCGTCGATATATCTAACTGTCGAGTCGAAAGCCACAGCAAGTGTTTTCTTCTTTTTACGCATAAGACTTTGCACAAATTCTGCTTTACATGAATACAAAAATAGTTCTGCTAATAACGGAGAGCAATTGGTACCCATGGGAATTCCAATAGATTATTTAAGATCTGGTCTCCAAAAAACCACATAGATATTGTCAATCAGAAATTCAAGCATCCTTTTGATGTCAACTTTAGAGTCCTTATGTGTGCAATCAGATTATGTTTTAACAAAATAATTTTGCAAATGACCAATGGCCTGTTAAGTAAATTTACGTGTTCCATTTTTATTGAAAAAGCAGCTGTCAATGATATTAAAAAAACCGGACTTTAATTTATCGTGGGGAATGGTTGTGTATAAAGTTAATTCTTATATTTTATTGAGAATTTTTTTTTTCATTTCATTGAGAAAAAATTGACAGAGAGTGAATCTTGTTTTGTAACACTGTTTAAAAAGTTTGCCCTTTTTTCAATACCCTCTATCAAAAAAATTAATCAAATGAAAAGGGTAAAGAAAACAAACAGTGTCCTATCTCAAAACAATCATATTATATCTATTAACATAGGGATGTCAAAATTGTCAATAATTGATATTCGAATATTCGATAGGAGTATTCGAATATATTCGAATATTCGATAAAATAAATACATCTTGCATTATTAAATATATATCTTCACTCTCCTGTCAAGTAGTATAGAGTTTATGCCATTATTTGGAATAAAAACTCATGTGGAGTTCGGTAAATACACTGCAATTATATTTTTTAAAGAAATATTGAATAATATACATCCCAAATGTAATGATTGTTTTTAGAAAATTAAAAAGATTCTTTAGTATTTTCCAGATTAATTATTTATCGTCTTACTGAAGTCTACACTGATAACTCCTACAAATTTATACCAAGCAGAACAATTATCTAACGGTGAAATATGAAAAGCAATTACTTTTCGCTAATTATGATTTCGTGATAATGATTTTTAATGATTTTTACATAAACAAGGGGTCTGTGTGTTTACTGTAAAACTATGTCCTTACAACAACACAAGCTGACTGTAAGTACTGGAAACTGTTATACTTCTAATTAATTGATTCTGGAGAGGGACGTTAAACAGTATACAATCTAATTAATTGAACAAATAATACCGGTAGATACACTCTTCACACCTTTAAGGTAATCCAAGAGGAGTGATTTTTTTTTTTTAATTTTATACAAACTTTATTCAATTTCTAATAAAACTTGCCAGGTTTTTCTCTCTTTTTAATGCTTGTATACTTAAAAACGAATATTCGAATCATAAATTTATATTCGAATATCAACTCATCGAATGAATATTCGAATATTCGAATATTCGTTGACATCCCTAATTAACAAGACATCAAACACAGACATCTGTAAATTTCAGAGGTAGGATGAGGTGCCGAAGGAAAAACACACCCTATCAACAGGTCTCACCAGCAATGAATCCTATGTATTGATCAGGCAAAAGGAACAGAACACTCCCTAGTCAAATTAAGGCATAACAACTGGTAGGAAATATATCGTTCAAAATAGATTCCCGACTCAATATTAGCTTGTATTTGCTAACACGGTCATTAAAACTATCAAAGAATTTACGAAATGCACATTTTAATCGAGGTTGTTGAAAATCCTATAACATTAATTAGTTGATTTTTTAAATGCGAATTATATAACAGGAAATGTATATGGATACACAGGCCCTGGTTTAGTGTATTCACCAAGGTTGATTATCAATATTTCATTAGATGAGATAGGTGACATAAACCTTCTTTTATTGATATATACTTCACAGCTCCAATTTCATACGAGAGTGCCATATACACGGAGATGAAAAGTGCCCTTACAATGGAAAAAAACCTTGACAACAATAACATAAATTCCAACTATTCATTTAGATTATTATCAAGCGAACGTAGACGAATGGGTGATTTTTATTTAATGTCAAAATACATATTATTTATGACCAATATTTTTAGATTTAAAAATTTTAATTTTAGATTTTTAAATCTGTTTGACACATTTTATTTTATCTAGAAGTACAATGAATGTTTTTACAAGATGAAACAATGGAAATAACAAACAGTATTCAAGATCAAAAGTCCATAAAACAATGCAAAATAGGAGCAGAGCAAACACGGACCTCCAAAACAACAGAGGTGGGATCAGGTGCCATGGAGGAGTGAGCATTCCCTACCGACCGGTCACACCCGCCGTGTGCTCCTTGTCATGATCGGGAAATAACGGAAAACTCCATCGTCAATTCAGTGTATATATAATTGACTAACAAGTAGTATGACAAACGTCAGTCAGCATTTGACTCAATGATAAATTGCATTTGCTGACATGGTCATTGTATCGGCCATAGAACTTACCCAATGATGACTTTAAACGAGCCCGCCGAAATTCGTGTTTCATCAACTTATTTGTCAATAATTTGCGTCGTTGTAGGAATTGTTCATATGTAGAACATGCTCTTGCGTATCTAATCAACGGAGATAT